GAAAAAAATGGATGTCGTTCATGCTTGAGATGGGGGCAGTATCCTCTCAATGTTGCAAAAATATGCACCAAATCATTTAAGACACGGCAACTGTCTTGGTAGTGATGGATTACAGACAAGGATGAAAAAATACCAGTTTTGTGGATGTATTAATAATCTATTTGAGACATTAAGAGACTGGTGCAGGCACAACAGTATATGAGTTAAGCCCCAGAAGATCTGCCCACACTTTAGTTCTGGACAAAAGGAACACCAGCTTCACAGATTGGAGTGTCACCTTTTCTGTAAAGAAGGCGCTTGAGATGTTTGAAGTTTCTGTTTATATTTCTGCATCTGCATTGACCGTGAATGCAGTTTGTTGAAAAGTTCACGGAATTTATACTGCGGAAATAAGGTTTCCAAAAAGCCTTCCAAGAAGACATAAACCATTCTCCTATTTAACTGGTTGTGCTGAAACATTTCAAAAACACGAAGAATACCTTTCCGTGTTGTCTCAGCCCCAATAATGTGCTTCAGTTCATCTACATGGGGGGGAAAAGAAACACAATTCATTACTCAAATAAAGGAAGCACAAGGCCTAAACTATGCTCTACGTTAAACCAAGTATGCAAAGAACACAGCAGAGTAACTAAAATGTAGTAGGTGTTCAGTTAATGCGTTTAGCCATGTATTGTAACTGAGATTTAAATTTTATACATGTGCCTGCAGGCCTCCAATCACTGATGCAATGGATACTGGGAGACACGACAGCACATGAGAAAGAAGTAGGACCCACCTCAGAAACCCCAATGAGAATTACAATCCTGTCCCTTAACACAATTACTATAAGATACTCACCTACCATGAGTTTGTTTATCTGTAAAATGGGGATTTATAATAACCAATATCCTTATAACTCTAAGGATTTATAAGGCTTTAATTAGATAATGTGAAAAGTGACCTGTAACCTCAAAAACATATTCTTACTATGTGTAATGCACAGTGAGAAATACACTATAAGGAAATCATGTGTGAAAGCTGACATATGATCTCAAAAAAACCTAAGACACAGTAACGTGCCATCAAAATACAAAAAATATAAAAATGTATATAGAGGGTAGAATTCTACATGACAATATAAGGCAAGGTCTGTTCCAGGAAGCAACAAATGAACTGGACGTTCCTACCTGGGCAGGAATTTGACAGATACAATCAGATGAAGGACTGGCTTTGGTGGAGAAACATCAGTGAGTGAGCACTAAGGGCACAAAACCAGGCAGATGCCAGGAGCAGGGGTAGTGCCATTGGCTGAATCTAGGGTTTCCCTTGAGAAAGTGGAGAAAAGAATGGGACTGATAGTGCTGTGACTGTCAGGATGAGCGAGTTTGGAGTTTACTCACAGGCAACATGAGGTCACTAGAGATATCTGAGTATGGGAACAACACGCATGATTATTCTTAGTTATTCATAATTAGGACCCCAATAGTAGTAAATATTACTCTGGTGCTTGTGAAAGAAACACGCAACTTCAGAAGGTATGTTTCTAACTAGGGGTACAATATAATTTAAAATAAGTGAGGGATTATGTACATATATTTTTATATCTACCTTCACTTCCTGCAAATCTTCACACAAGTGTCATCTTCTCAGGGCCTTCCCGGGTCACCCTATCTACGTCTGCAACTCACCTGACACCTCCCTTGTCCTGCACTCTCCGTTGTCTCAGCACTTTCCACTATGGAACATACTATGCTATATTTACTGTTTTGTCTGTTTTCTATGTCCCTTCACTAGAGTGTTACTCCAAGTAGGCAAACATTAGTGCAAAGAATAGTGTATGGCACATGATACGCTCTCAAAAAATACTTACTGAGTAAATGCACTAAGGATTCTTTCAGCTGCATAACTGAGTCAGTCTATAGCAAGACCTAATGTATTCTAGTAGTTTATAACATAATATTTTAAATTATTGTGTCTTTTTATTTTTTTTGAAATGTTATTTCTATAATTTGCTTTCTATATCCAAATGCAACAGTGTAGTCTATAGGGCAGAATTATCAGCCATGTGGCAAGTTTCCAACTTAACTGACAAAAGAGAAAGTTGATTATTAAAATCTATGATGGAAATTTAGTTTTAAATTATAGAAAAATAGGTATTCTATGATATTAAACAACTTAAAAATATATCTTCTAGATTCTCTACATCCATAATTTAAATGTGAAGAGAAGATACCTAGGTATTTCAGAGATATTCATAAAACAAAGAAGGGACCAAATAACCATGCAGCCACACATACTGCCTGTCATATTACATACCTTCTCTTACTGAGAGAAGACAAGGGATAAAGTGAATTTAACTTAGTGAACAGCAGTGTTCTAAAGAAGTAACTCAAATTAGACCAACAGAATGCCATTATGTGGACTCTCTTTGAGATCATGTTTTAATAAAGATTAATATTAGATCAATCAGTTGTTCCTATATAAAGGGATTCTTTGAAAAAAATTGTTCTCTTCAATATTCTTCGTAAAATCTCAAACTTCAGATTCCCTTATTAGCCCTTAAGTCTGTTACATATTTTATTTATCATCAAATTATCCTCATAATGTTTCAAGGCAGCAAAGTGAAGGGGTTTGAAAGCAGCACTTTTTTTCAAGTGGTTGAAAGAACTGGCTTTCATGTCATTCAGAGCTGATTCAGAATCCCAACACTTGCTTACCAGCTATAAACTTTGCCTACCTTACTTAATCTCTTTGAGCTTCTGTTTCCTCATGAATAAAGTTGCAGCATTAACGGTGCCTACCTTCATAATATTGTCATAAGGACTGGTTAAGAAAATATGAGGGCTGCCAGAACAGTGCCTCATATATGGTAAGTAATCAAATGGTAGTTGATATAATCAAGCTAGCATGCTTAATGCCAAAAATTCAGAAAAACTACAAGTTAGTGAGTTTTTTTACCCAACATGTTCACTCACCTGGCATAATTGAAAGTAGTTTAGTTTTTCCTGCAATTCTTGTTCTCATTCGGATAGCTTTATCTCTGCATGGAACAGCTTCTGCTAAAATGCCATTTGGCCAAAAGGCATCTCTATTGAAAAAGATTAAATTTATAACTATTTTTATTTTCTATAATACAAGTTGGTACAATTATTCCAATTTTCTATAGAAAACACAAATAGGAAATGTTTCTGAAATTTTATAAAAGTATGATATTCAACAAATAGAAACTAAATACAAGGTTCAATTTTAGGTATAAAAGGATATACACAAGAAAGATACAGATGAATTCTGCCCTGATATAACTTATAAACACTGACAAATGATAAAGATAGCAAAACAGAATACATAAACGGAATACATACACAGCATTTAAATTCAAAGTAGGCCTCTCCTCTCATTGAGATTGAACATCTCATCTAAATACAACCTACAACGTCCTGAATTTGGGTAGAGTTAATCTCCCTGAGGTCCCTTATCACTAAGCCAACATAAAACAAACTCTGCACCCACACCTTACAGCTGGATTGAGTACAACGTTCCTTTCACACATATAACCCGTTCTCCTTCACTTTCACAGCATGCGTTAATTCCTGTGCCTTATTTATGAGGCCAAAAGCAGGAATTCAAGCACAATAACTAAGCTTCCGTCAGGGAATCTGGTCTAAGGGAGAAAGAATCCCCAGAGCGGTCGTTCTTAACTTTACACGTTAGAAACACCTGGGAGCTTTAAAACTCTAATGTGTAGGCCTTCCAACAGATTAATTAAGTCAGACTCTGGAGAGGGGCCCGTGCACCAGCACTCTGTAAAGCTTTCCAAGCGATTTCACTGTGCAGCCAAGGCTGAGAAGCACTGCTCCTGAGGAACACCATTTCCCTACCCTGAAACAGAATCAATGTGCCAGGGCAGTGGTCCAACTTTTGGAAACAGTATGGTACAGAGGAAAATGCAGCCTCAGGTTAGAGAAACCCGGTTCCCTGTTTCCAGCACACAAGCCATTGGGCAAGCTGCCTAACTTGTCTAATCCTCAATTTCCTCCTAACAAAACGGAGACAAAATGCCTATCTCGGAAACGTGATAAAACCAGAGAGTGTACATAAAGTAGTTGGCATAGTACCAAGCAAATAGTGCTTAATACTGATAGCTCCCTTCTTGCTTCCATTATTTTGAAATACACGATGCCATGAATATTGATGTCTTGCTTATCTTTCACTCCTAGAAAAGAGGTCCATTTCTCTAGTACACCATGCTTTTCTTGAAGGAACTGCATCTGAGTCCCTGGTGATTGGCAAAGCACTAGACATAGAGGAGGGGCTTGGAATATTTTTATAAAATGAACATATACACTGGAGTATCACTGCTCCTAATATGTATTCTTTTCAGAGGTTCAAATAGTTAAAAAATTAGACTATGGCCAGAGACATACATACTTTTTAAAGTTTTCATTTAAAATCAAGGTTAGCAAACAAGCAAGAAAAAGAAATCCCCAACACTAGGTACTGGATTATATGGCCATGCCTTGTCCACACTGGTATTTCAATTATTTTAAAGCCACTTTAAAATGCAACCTAACATCTTAAGAATTTTCTTTTATTCTTTTTTCTATTCTGGTTTTAAAGAAAACAAAGATCAACATAACCCATGTAAAAAATGTTTATTACAATTCTTACAAGTTTTTTGGCTCATCAGTGATAACTAAAAACAACTTTATGGCCAGGAAGAAAAGAAAAGCAATCAGAGTTAATTAGTGATAACAATGCTAAACTCTGTACTACCTGAAAGAAGTGACTGTGTCTTAGATATACCTGAAACGTTTCACTAAGTCCGCTACTTGCTCAGGTGAGGTCATCCAATCAACATGGTCGACTATTTTTCTGAAAGTAAAGAAATTTATATACAGTCAAAATTTTATGTGAATAAAATAAAACTATTTTCATGGAGTAATAAGCAACTTAATTTGCATATAAATAATCTCTGAGAGAAACAGACTGCTTTAATAATGTTCTTAAAGGGCCCAGAGAAGGAAATTCTCCTAAGAAGGCTGAACAATTTACTTCTAGAAGTAAAAGTTTAAAAACTAATAAATGAAGGAAGAATAAAAAAAATGTGGTACCTATTAATAGTATCACCATATGTGGCTCTAATAAGCTGTTGAAGTAGGTTTTTGATATTTCTTCGCAACCACTGATTTCTCTCTTTTAAGTCGAACACTTCATCCATGAGAAGCAGCATTACCCTAAGCGGAATATTGTCATCCACCTGACAATGTATGAGAAGAAATAAGCATGTTTAATTGAGTTACCTAGCTACCATAAATGGACACTTTACAAAATTATTGCTACCATTTCACAGGTCAGAGAACAAGTTATATTATTGCTTGCATAACCTGGCATTTCATTTTAATCTAGAAAAGACATTTTTGACAGACAAATACAGAATTTTACAGCCCTGTAATAATGAGTAAATTCCATGACTATAATAATGGTCTTGGGAAAAGATTACTGGCTCTTTTACTTTTAGCAGAGTTTGTACTAGTTGGATAAGGCAAATGCTAGCCCCATTGCCTATTTCCTGAAGCATCGTTTTCAAAAGAATAGTCTTCAACATTCCTCATCCTATATAATAAAAGCCTAATATGCTAAGTGTCCGGTCGTCCGTTCAACCAATCAAAGCGTAATATGCTAATGATATGCTAAGGCCACTCAACTCACTATGACATGCACTGACCACCAGGGGGCAGATAGTCGGCCAGTTGCCCAGTTGGTATGATGTGCACTGACCACCAGGGGGCAGATGCTCCAACCAGTAGGTCAGCTTGCTGCTGGGGTCTGGCCAATCGGAACTGAGCAAGACAGGCCAGACATCCCCTGGAGCCCTCCCAGGGTCCCTTCCTGGCCCTGATGGTGCACCGGTGGGGTCCCTCAGCCTGGCCTGCATCCTCTCACATTCTGGGACGCCTCAAGGGATATTGGAGAGCTGATTTTGGCCCAATCCTGGACAGGCCAAGGAACCCCACTGTGCACGAATTTGTGCACCAGGCCTCTAGTTTAATATAACAAAACACAATCTACACAAAATAATGTGTTGTGCTTGATTAGTTTTATGTATTTAGGTATTTTCAGGGAAAAGAATTGAATAAAATCTAGTACACAGCTAACAGTACTAAGACATATTTCTCTAAACTATGAGAATTTTAACATTTAACCAGTAAAAATGTGAACACTTATAATGGGAATATTTGATTAACAATGTAAAAAGTAAAGGAAGACAACTAGGACGCTTTGATGTGAAAAAATATATACAAAGCCAAGACAGGTGCAGATTTAGAAATGCAACAGAATTGCATATAATTGCCAGTTAAACTTATAACTCTTTCATCACTAAGATACTCTCTCTAATGATTTCTTCATCAGTGCTGTAATCTAAACAATAAGAAAACAGCATTAATTATATATTTTTCACTGTTGTGCTGTAAACATTTTCTTAGTGTATCTTTCCTTTCACGACACACTAAAAGCTCATAGTTTAACCAAGGGGAGGGGCACATGGTAGTGGGGTAGGTGAGGAGAGACACATTTCATTATAGAGGCAAAATAAAAACTGTTCTCTGATCAAGTATATTCGAGTTTGGTGCCACATGACAATTCTAATAAAAGGTTAAACTGTAAAAACCCTTAACAAAAGGTATGATGTTATGGATATTATGCCATAACATAAATTATTCTGAAATAGTATTAAAAGCAGATTAAAATAATATATTTTTAAAGATAGTTTATCATAAAGAAGTTTAATGAGAAAATGAAGGAAAATAATTATAACTGTAAAATAAATCTGTCTAATACAATAGAATACAGAGCCCAGACCCAAATATATACAATAATCTGATTTATGACAAAGGAGAAGCACAGAAACTGGGGAAAAGAAGGCCTTCTCAGCACTGGTGTTTGGGTCAACTGGACCCCTACCTCATCCATACACAAAAATCAATCTTAGATGAATGCCAAATATAAGTTTCAGCATGGCAAAACAAAAAAAGTATTAAAGAAAACCACATATCTTTGTGACCTTGCAGCAGGTACGATTGTATATATAGTTAACAAAAGCACACAAAGCAATACACAATCTGACAAAGAATCAATATTTAGATCATACAAAGCATTCTTACTAATCAAAAGACAAAGACAGCCAAGCCAACAGAAAAATAAGGAAAAGCACTAGACACAAAAGACAAGACACCTAAAAGGCCAATGAACATATGAAATGGGGTTCAACATTTCACTCATAAGAGAAATGAAAATCCGCTTGAGATACAAAAACCAGAACGGCTAAAGATAAAAAGACACACACTGGCAGGCTCGGACCACTGGAATTCTCATGCATTGCTGGTGGCAATGAAAGTGGAAAAAACACTTTGGGAAACTATGGGACAGTATCCATTAAAACTGAACTTTTGCATACCCTCTAACCAAGCAATTCTATTCCTAGGTATAGCCCCAACGGAAACATGTTTTATTTTTTTAATCAAAAGACATGTACCAGAACATTCATTGGAATACTATTCATAATACAACAAATAAATTGTACTATATTTACAAAATGGGGTACTGTAAGGACACAAGAATGAAGAAATTACAATCACACAAAACAACATGAACAAATATCACAATACTGAGCAAAAAAGAAGCCAGACTTAAAGAAGTACGTACCTCATGGTTTCATTTACATAAAGTATAAAAGCAGGGTGGAAGTCAGGATAGTGATTACCCTTGGTGGGGGAGAGCATAGTGACAGGAAGAGAGCATTAGGGGCTTTCTGGGGTACTGACAACAATCTGTTTCTTGTTTAGAGTGCTGATTATATGGGCATGTTCAGCTTGTAAGAATTCATCAAACTCAACACTTACAATAAATCCACATTAATGGTAGCTATATGTTACTATACTTCATTAAAACGTTAAAAAGATCTGTCAAGTGTGATTTGAATCACAACTGAATACTACCCAAAATAAAATTAACTCACAGTATCATCAAGTTGAGCTGAAACTCGACAATGTTCAGGATCTGAATCAGTCTTTGGAATTAAAGGAGGCATCTAACATAAAAAAAAGAGAAAAAAAAAAAAAACAAAGTAAACCCACAGACAGTGAAAGAACAAAATATAATAATAAAACAAAACAATTACCAAACATAATAAATTGCATTTGATTTGATATGCAGTATTTAAAAAGTATTACAATCTATAATTAGAACCCAAGGGTGATTATTTCATTATTAAAATATATATATTTTTTTAATGCTTAACTTTTTAGTTGGAAGGGGAGATTACTTAAGTCAAAATCCCATACCTTTTTGAAGAATTTAAAGCTAAAAAAGGTTAATTGATTTAAAGACCAAAAGTTAGTAACACAGACAGGGAATAAAACTCCAATCTTCTTTCTTTTACCACAGAGAGCTCGATAGTATGTTAATAAGGTAAAAAAAACTAACCTTGTTGGACAAACTGTGATAAAAAAAGGACAGAAAGAACAGTGCTAGCCGATAATCATTTGTCATCACAGGAAGAACCATCAAGATCACCTATTATAACCCTTTCATGTTATTGATGTGGGAAAAGAAGCCTGGAATAGTTCAGTGACTTTGTATGAAGTCACAGAAGTGGCACTGGAAATCCTCATTTCAGTGAGTGTACTTCCCATGATTAGAAATAAAGGTGAAGCATCAGAGAAAGTATAAGAATTAACAGAGAAGTATGATTGACACACACTATTTTAGGAGTTGTCTCTTACAGTAAAAAAAATTCTGTGTTTCTGTATATTTCCTCTTCATTCAAACTGATCTAATGAAAACTGTAATAGCTATATGATTTATTCCATAATCTTAATTATAACCTTAAACATCTAGATCAAAATTTGAAGGTACAAATTATGAAACAATAAACTACTTGGTCCACTAACTGTACTTTACCAATTTAAAATATTTGTTTTACATAGATTTTAAAATTCTACCATAGCAGAAACTGAGAAGTGACTGGATTTTATAGTATACATTTCTGGTAAGAATGCATTCTCTTTAGTTTATTTTAAAAAATTATTTATGAGACTGTATGTTAGAGGCTTTGAACTTCTGAAAGAAATAGGTAAATCTAAGCAGGGGCTCAATAAATCTTAGGTAACTTAAAAATAATTTGCTTTAGACATTAATGCAAATTATCTTACCTTGAAAAATGATTGCTTTATGTCTTGACCTAGTCTTTCTGACATTCTGCCCATGTTGTCTGACATTTTAGTCATTCCCTCTGCCAAGCTATCAGGAAGGGATTTAACTGCATTGGAAACATTCCTCATAGAATTTCGAAGTGGATTCACAAAAGTGTCCATCTAAAGAGGAAAAGATGTTATACCATGACTTTACTGTATCAGATCTGTTATTCAACTGAGAAGTCTGTGAAAACAGAGTGTAACGTATGAAAGATGCAATAATTTTTCAGTCTATAATAGCTCATTTCATTTAAAAAGTATGTAACTGTGTCTTCAATGTGTCTTAAAAATGTATCTCACACACAAATGTATAACTAAAAAATTTGAATGAAAATGTTATTGATAGAAAATCATTATAAACTGTGGCTGCCTTATTTAATAAATTCTGAAAATAAAGTTTTTCAAAAACTGATGCAATTGGAATTATCTATAACATCCTTCTGCCACAATCAAGGCAAGAATGACAGATATTTTGAGGAGATACTGAAAAGTAAACAAGCTGGTAAGATAAACCGAAAGCTGAAATAACAAGTGACTATTTAAATTTAATTTTTAAAAATAATTTTTAGGATACATACAGTCTATGTAGGGAATTTGAAATCCATTATGAAGAAGAAAAAAAGAAGTTGCAAACCAGACATGTAAACGATATTTTAATAAGGAGAACAGAAAAACTATAAAAGAAATTGTAATCAGAGATATAAAATGGAATAATCTCCAGAGGATTTGGTGCAGTAAATAGACATGTTGTTGTACAAATGTTAAATAATTTCAATGAAGAAAGAGAGCAACATCTAAAGAACCAAAGCAGCTGAATATGGAACTGAGGTTAAAAAAAAAAGGGGGAGGGGATTGGACATAAAACTAGTCATACCAAACTACAAGAATATTTTCCAGAAAATGCTGAGTCTCATAAAAACTACCACAGAAACAAATTATGTGCCATGCATAAATAAAAAAGAAAATGGTAGAAAAACTGAACCCCACTGTTTAAGAAACATGGCGTAATGTTAATCTACACTAATAAAAGAGAAATATGGTAATTGGCGTACGACCGCTACCCTTTTCATTGGCTAATCAGGGTGATATGCAAATTAACTGCCAACTAAGATGGCAGTTAACTGCCAACAAAGATGGCAGTTAATTTGCATATGTAGGCACAATGCAGGGAGGCGAAAGGGAAAACAGGAAGAAGCCCCCTGCCACTGACAGTGATTAGAAACCCAGGGGGGAGCTAAGAGCCTCC